TGTGGTTAGGGTAGTTAACCTAAACACTGTATTGGCAGGTTGATGTCTATTTGGAAACCTACGAAGGTATTCTCTTGCTGCTTGCCGAGCGTTTCCGTTACAAAGCCCGTATACAAAAATAATATCTGCATATTCTTCAGTCGTAAATACATGCATTTTCGTTTTCGATCAAAACTCTGACAATTATAAACTTTGAAACACACAGAATAGAGTAAATTGAAATGTTTGACATAAAGAACTCAGTTTTGTTATCACAGCCAACTCTGTATTTGTGTTTCATAATTATTGTTGCGATTGTTGCAAATCTTTACTTCGTCGATGTGAAGCGTGCATTCAAGCTGAAGGCGGACATTTCGAACAATTTTTGTAATTTTTAAACTTATTTTTTATGTTACATTTTCATTTGCCTATTAAACTGTGTAAAATTTTCAAAGGCTTGTAACTCTTTAACCAAAATGAATCGGACCCATATTCATATAACATTTTTTCCTTAGAATCGCATCACCTTTCATCTGCCAAAGTTTGTCATAGAGCTAATGAATCACCCTGTATACTATGTTTATATGCTGTTTCTTTGTAGTCACTCACGTCAAATGGTCTTATATTTATCATATTTGTTAAGTGTGGTTGCTGCAGGTGTACTAAAGTTGGTTGCTATATATAACCTGGTTCGATTATATTGTGGAGTTGTTGCCAGAGTCAATATGCCAATATATTTCCAAACGTGTCAATTTGGATCTATTTCTGAGCTTTTGTATTAGTTGCTGACGATTTACGTTTTTGGATTTATTTAATTGATGTATAACGTGTCGACTATGTCGATGTATGTCATGAATGGTCACAGGTTTATCTATTCTTGAATTTTTGGTGATGCTTTTGTCTATTTCTTCTGTTTTTTATTTGCCAATTTAATTGGTATCGTGGGTAGTCCTTTGATAGGTGTCAATGGACCAGGCTTGGTGATCAGATTTTCCACAGGCTTTGCAGGTTTCTGGTAGACACGTATTACATGTTGAGGTTTGGTGGTGTTGTTTACATTTACCGCAAATTATCTTGTTGCTACAATCTTCGCTTTTATATGTAAATTCTAAGCATTTACTACAAGGTATAGGTGCTGGTGGTGGTGCATCGCTTTCAATAACAAAATAGTAGTTGTGTAGGTAATATAAGCCGTTTTTGATTAATTTTTGGTACGAATCAACGTCACTGGTAATGATTCTTATCTTACGTGTCGGTTTGTTTGTTGCCCTTGAAACAATTTGTTTGCAATGCCGATGGTCTAAATTTCCTTCTTTTAGGAATGTACTAATCTCTTTTTCTTTGATATCCAATTCCACATTGCATATAATTGCGGAGTAAGAGATGTTTGGAACTTTAGTATGTTTTTGGAGATTTGGTCCAGTTTTTGTGTAGTTTTGGATGGTTCCATCGCTTTTCAATAGCTCTAAAAGTTACTGTAGTATTATTTGTTTATTTTCCATACTTTTAAGAATGAATCCATTTCTTGAAGTGAGTATTACATCGTTGTTTTATATTTGGTTTTCCTTTTGTATTTTACTCCATTCCGTGGAAACGAAACTATTCGTTTCGCTCATCACTTGGTATTAATTTTAATGTCTTAAAATTGATTTTATAAAACAACTATTTATATTGGAGCAGGTTATACACGTGCGTATCATACATCATTAAATATTTAATAAGATTTCTTTTTCTAATTTATAATTTTTTTCTTTTGAATTAGTTAATCCAACATCGCCGTATGCATACAGGAGAAAAACCCCATTTGTGTCCATTCTGTTCCTACAGATCCGCCCGAAGAGATAATTTAAGAAGCCACGCTCGACGGGTTCATAAAAAAGATAGCTTACCCTGCGACACATTTAGGCCGCGAAATATGATCCTGGAACCATCAAAATAATTTTATTTAAATGTAATTATATAACATGGTGCTGATTTAAGACTGTATTGATATATTTTATGTCATCTCAACTTGCCAATACGATACTATTTGAATGTGTCATCAAACTGAAACGTTTCTAGTCATTATTGTAATAATAATGTTAATAAGGTGACTTAACGAAGGGAATGAGCTAAATTATTTAACGCAAAGACTTTGATAAAGACTATAATTAATTATAAATAATCTAAAGTACGTGTTTACAATGCTCATTCTCTTTTTATATTTTTTAATTCATTAAGTAAATTTATTCAAATATACTTTATATATTATATACAATTTACTTGTAGATGTATTATAATTGATTTAATTTTATTCATATTTACCCTGTTTAGATAAGTCCTTGTTATTGATGTTTAATTATCAAAATAAATGTTCTTGGCAACTTTTTATGGTTTTAATTTTTTTATGGGTGTTTAAAACGAGATGTTTTACATAAATTTCTTTTATTAAATCAATGAACTGTAAATACAATATAATACAAATGTTTTAAACGGCCTTTTTTCCTTGGCAGTTCATAGCATTTTCAATTTTACCCCACATCAAAAATATTTACACTCTCTCAATTTTATATAAGTAGATTTAATTTTTTTTATGTAAAAACTATAACATGTATACACAAATTTACACTGGAAAGTAACAAATTTGTATCTAAAAAAAAACTTCAGCACGTATAATTGAAAATTATTATAAATTGTACATGTACTACATAGAAATAGAATAAATCAAAAAGAAAATGAAAAGTACGGTAATTAATAAATCTTAAAAAAATTACAGGTAGTATACGTATAATTATTAATAATAAAGAAACTTGGCTCAGTACCAGTGATAATAATAATAAGTATACTGCCCAGGATACAGCACAATGTTATGATTTTGAACAATAATTCTCAATGATTTTGTGGCGTGGTTGTCAAAAAATCATCGGAACTTTGTATTACAGCTGACTGGCGAACATCTCTGTCTTTATCGGCTTGTAATCTTCTCATTACCGTCTCTAATCCTTCATTATATTGATTTGTTGGATCCGAAAAGAACGCTACAAAAGAATTAATTATTATTACAAAATAATATACGTATTTTAATAACGCGTGTGAAGTTGGCCATAGATTTTAAACTGAAAAAAATGCGTGATCGGGGTATTCAATCGATCTAATTTTAACGGCATCGTATTCATGGTCGCCTCTTGTTTCAGATTCGAAAAGAAAATTTTAATAACCATTTCTTAGCTCGTTCGGGGTTTTTAATCGATCTAATTTCAATGGTATTGTATTCCTGGTGGCCTCTTGCTTCAGATTCGAAAAGAAAATTTTCCTAACCATTTCTTATTTTCCGGAAAAATCGATTTTCTTCAAACATAAGCAAATGTCGGGCTGTTCAGGGTTTCTAATCGATCCCATTTCAACGGCATTATATTGCTGGTCGCTTCTTGCTGCAGATTCGAAAAGAACATTTTCTAACCATTCAATATATTCCGAGAAAATCGATTTTCTTCAAACATTCGCAAATTTCGGCCGATTCGGTTTGGGGTTTCTAATCCATCTCATTTCAACAACATCGTATTCCTGGTCGCCTCTTGCTTTAAATTGTAACAGAAAATGTTCCTAATCATTTCCTATTTTCCGGAAAAATCGATTTTCTTCAAACATTCGCAATTTCGGCTTGTTCGGGGTTTCTAATTGATCTAATTTCAACGGCATCATATTCCTGGTGTCCTTTTGCTTCAGATTCAAAAAGAAAATTTCCCTAACCATTTCTTATATTCCGGGAAAATAATAATAATAATAATAATACACTTTATTGTACCAAAAACAAAATACAAATTGTAGAGAAAAAAAAAAGAGAAAATGAAACACGAATAATTCTTTTTTGGTACAAACCACAAGGCGCCAATTCAGGAAGCCGAAGCTCCTGTTCTTTCATTGGAACCTCAACAAAATAAAACCAAGTAAATTTGAGAATAAAGAGCATAATAAGAAACATAAAAAACAGAAACAATAAATTCGCATTTATAAGTACTGATTATAGCATCAATATCTAAGAGAATGTAACTATAAATAAAGTAAATAACCAAAAATAAATATATATATAATATAATAAAACTAAACAGTAACCATCATAAAAAAAAGCATAAAATGAATNTTGCAAAACAAAAGCGATGCGGTATTATCCAAGCTACTAAATGATGTTGTCAAAGTTATAGCTCATCGTCTAACTTTCTGAGATAGCGGGAATTTTATGTTTCTCTATGGCAGTTACGCCCCCTAGCGGTTGAATTACGAATTTCAAAATAATTTCCAGCTATTTCTCTTGGTCACTTTACTTATAAGGATTTTTTTCCCAAACCTCTAGGCCTTACCGTTGTAGAGATACAGCCGCTCCGTACGCTTAACGGGGCACCCTGTATATTTAAATAAAGATTTTTTTTTACCTTCCTCCGTAAACTCCTATGTTGATTTTTTTTTTATTATTAATAAACTTTGATTTTATTTCTTAATTTATGAACCGCATGTTTTTTATTTTTTTTAACCCTCTCTCAAAAACCCTGAATCTCCGACTGTAACTACTTGGAGGCGAAAGAGTTCCTTAACTCTCTAAACATAAGGTGGCGCCCGAGACCGATAACATCCCGAACATAAAAAAAAGAGGCACCAAGACCCCTTTCCTAGGACCGAACCAGGAAAGGACGTCGCAGTTTAAAGAAAATCGATTTTCCCGGAAAATAAGAAATGGTTAGAAAAATTTTCTTTTCGAATCTGAAGCAAGAGGCCACCAGAAATACGATGTCGAAATTAGATCGATTAAAAACCCCGAACGAGCCGAATTTTTCAAAAGTTTAAAGAAAATCGATTTTTCCGGAAAATAAGAAATGGTTAGGAAAATTTCCTTTTCGAATCTGAAGCAAGAGGCCACCAGAAATACGATGCCGTNGATGGTAAACCGGAACCATATAATTAAATTGAGATAGTACAAAACTCTCGCATAAGTTTCGTTTAACATCAAAAGGCAAGTATTCTCTATGTGGATAAAGTAGTCTCAGTGCACAATAGGCGTTCCTAATATATTTAGAGATCTGATTAGAAAAACGAAAAGAGTTATCAATTTCAAGTCCAAGACTTTTATATTTTTCAACTACAGGTAGTTTTGAGCCATTCACAACAATATTGGCAGCGTGAGACAATTCAGCACAAATTTTTTATTCCCAAAAAACATGACCGCAGACTTGTCTGGATTGATTTTTAAACAGTGCTGCGAAGCTGCGACAAACACACTATTAAGATCTCTATTTATATTATCAATAGCAGGACCAGACTCGGAGGGAAGAAAGGAGAGCACCAACTGAGTGTCATCCGCATAAACATATGGTGTACAGTGTTGAATACATTTAAGTAAATTACTAGTGTAGATCGAGAACAAAATCGGGCCTAAAATAGAACCCTGAGGAACACCATCAGAAATGAATCTGCTCTGAGATATTACACCATCAATAGCTACACGTTGAGACCTGTCATGAAGATAACACTCAATAATACTCTGTGAAACAGGGTCCAAACCAAACGAAGAAAGAATACAAAGAAGGATCTCGTGGTTAACGGTGTCAAATGCAAAGCTAAAATCTAAGAAAACTAGAATTGTAATATTACCCTTATCAACCCCCGAAATAATATCATCCAAAAGTGCTGTCATAGTAGTAATAGTGCTATAATTTTTACGAAACCCTGACTGACAGTCAGGCAGCAAATTAGAAGTTTGAATGTAATCATTCAACTGATACTTCAATATCCCTTCCAAGATCTTCGAACAAGTAGGAAGCAGACTAATAGGTCTAAGGTCAGTGTAACTTGATGGGTTTTGATTTTTAGGAATAGGCTTGATTATAGCGTGTTTCCAGCAATTCGGGAAATGACCTTCAACGATGCAACAGTTAACAATATGTGTAAGATAAGGTAAAATAACAGGACATGCCAGTTTAATCATATCCGCCCGAATCCAATCACTGCCCTCACAACAAGACTTCAATTTATAGATCAATTTGTCTACTACATCAGTTGATACCGATTTGAATTTAAAATATTTCTCGTTGTTAACATTTAAATTAGAATAATACTCAAAAATAGCAGGATTGGGCGGTAACTTGTCAGTGATGTCCGAAACACTCCTCAAAAAGAAGTCATTCAGATCTTCAACGTTACACAAAGCCTCTGCAATATTTCACTGCGTCCTCTTTCTTAAATTAAGCGAATCAAGCTTACCCCACATTAATTTTTTGTCCCGAATGCTACCAATATACCGAAAAAATGCTCTTTTTTCCGCCTTAATAGTGAAAGCCGTTAAGTTTCTAAGAGATTTAAAGTAATCCCATTTAGCATCAGATCGATTCCTTCTATAGTAATCCTTTGCTTTATCCCTTAAAGAAATCATTAGCTTCAGGTTATCAGTAAGCCATGGAGGCTTACTGATAACCTGGAGGAAAATCGTTTTTCTTCAAACAATCGCAAATTTCGGCCTGTACGGGGTATGTAATCGATCTAATTTCAACGGCATCGTATTCCTGGTGCCCTTTTACTTCAGATTCAAAAAGAAAATTTTTTTAACCATTTCTTATATTCCTGGAAAATCGTTTTTCTTCAAACAATTGCAAATTTTGGCCTGTTCGGGGTTTCTAATCGATTTCATTTCAACGGCATCGTATTCCTGGTCGCCTCTCGCTTTAGATTCGAAAATAAAATTTTTCTTTAATATTTCTAACCCAATTGTTTGAAGAAAAACGATTTTCCCGGAATATAAGAAATGGTTAGGAAAATTTTCTTTTTGAATCTGAAGTAAAAGGGCACCAGGAATACGATGCCGTTGAAATTAGATCGATTAGAAACCCCGAACCGAATCGGCCGAAATTTGCAAATGTTTGAAGAAAATCGATTTTCTTGGAATATAAGGTATGGTTAGAAAATGTTCTTTTCGAATCTGAAGCAAGAGGCCACCAGGCATACGATGCCGTTGAAATTAGATCGATTAAAAACCCCAAACGAGCCGAATTTTGCGAAAGTTTAAAGAAAATCGATTTTCCCGGATAATAAGAAATGGTTAAGAAAATTTTCTTTTCGAATCTGAAACAAGAGGCCACCAGGAATACGATGCCGTTGAAATTAGATCGATTAAAAACCCCGAACGAGCCGAATTTTGCGAAAGTTTGAAGAAAATCGATTTTCCCGGAAAATAAGAAATGGTTAGGAAAATTTTCTTTTCGAATCTGAAGCAAGAGGCGACCATGAATACGATGCCGTTGAAATTAGATCGATTAAAAACCCCGAACAGGCCGAAATTTGCGAATGTTTGAAGAAAATCGGTTTTTCCGGAAAATAGGAAATGGTTAGGAACATTTTCTTTTTGCATCTGAAGCAAAAGGCCACCAGGAATACGATGCCGTTGAAATTAGATCGATTAGAAACCCCGAACAGGCCAAAATTTGCAATTGTTTGAAGAAAAACGATTTTCCCGGAATATAAGAAATGGTTAGGAAAATTTTCTTTTTGAATCTGAAGTAAAAGGGCACCAGGAATACGATGCCGTTGAAATTAGATCGATTAGAAACCCCGAACCGAATCGGCCGAAATTTGCAAATGTTTGAAGAAAATCGATTTTCTTGGAATATAAGGTATGGTTAGAAAATGTTCTTTTCGAATCTGAAGCAAGAGGCCACCAGGCATACGATGCCGTTGAAATTAGATCGATTAAAAACCCCAAACGAGCCGAATTTTTCGAAAGTTTAAAGAAAATCGATTTTCCCGGATAATAAGAAATGGTTAAGAAAATTTTCTTTTCGAATCTGAAACAAGAGGCCACCAGGAATACGATGCCGTTGAAATTAGATCGATTAAAACCCCCGAACGAGCCGAATTTTGCGAAAGTTTGAAGAAAATCGATTTTCCCGGAAAATAAGAAATGGTTAGGAAAATTTTCTATTCGAATCTGAAACAAGAGGCGACCATGAATACGATGCCGTTGAAATTAGATCGATTGAATACCCCGATAATACATTTTCTATTACAACTTAAAGCAAGAGGCGACCAGGAATACGATGTCGTTGAAATGAGATGGATTAGAAACCCCGAACCGAACAGCCCGACATTTGCTTATGTTTGAAGAAAATCAATTTTCCCGGATAATAAGAAATGGTTAGGAAAATTTTCTTTTCGAATCTGAAGCAAGAGGCCACCAGGAATACGATGACGTTGAAATGAAATCGATTAGATACCCCGAACAGGCCAAAATTTGCGAATGTTTGAAGAAAAACTATTTTCCCGGAATATAAGAAATGGTTAGGGAAATTTTCTTTTTGAATCTGAAGTAAAAGGGCACCAGGAATACGATGCCGTTGAAATTAAATCGATTAGAAACCCTGAACCGAATCGGCCGAAATTTACGAATGTTTGAAAAAAACCGATTTTCTTGGAATATAAGGAATGGTTATAAAATGTTCTTTTCGAATCTGAAGCAAGAGGCCACCAGGAATACGATGCCGTTGAAATTAGATCGATTAACAACCCCGAACGAGCCGAATTTTTCGAAAGTTTTGTAACGAAGTTACATTTTTTTTTCTTTCTTCCTGGAAAAATTTATAACATCCGAATATACTTCCCATATTACCCCGACCTCCTACAGTTTCCGCCCGATTTAGAAAAATCCAAAAATTGATACCCTATCACCACCCACTTATGCAATTTTATTCGCATTTTCCTTAATTCCTTAATTTCCTTAATTAAANATACGATGTCGAAATTAGATCGATTAAAAACCCCGAACGAGCCGAATTTTTCAAAAGTTTAAAGAAAATCGATTTTTCCGGAAAATAAGAAATGGTTAGGAAAATTTCCTTTTCGAATCTGAAGCAAGAGGCCACCAGAAATACGATGCCGTCGAAATTAGATCGATTAAAAACCCCGAACGAGCCGAATTTTTCGAAAGTTTAAAGAAAATCGATTTTTCCGGAAAATAAGAAATGGTTAGGAAAATTTTCTTTTCGAATCTGAAACAAGACGCGTCCATGAATACGATGCCGTTGAAATTAGATCGATTGAATAGCCCGATCACGCATTTTTTTCAGTTTAAAATCTATGGTCAACTTCACACGCGTATTTTAATAACGTTTTACTTACAATGTTGAATCATGTGCTTAGCAATAGTCCTCGCAACAACCAACCGAACATTTGGAACAGGATCCCAACTAAGATCCAATAAATGCGGCATAATATCAGTGGCGAAAACCTCCAAATGAACCGATTCATTCTCCAAAATATGACAACACAACAAAGTGAACGTTTGCCGCCGTTTCCATTTTTTTGAATGAGCAAATCGTTCCGCTAACATAATTAAAATTCGATGCGTCAAATCCTTCTCCACCGATATATGTTTGAGAAGCTCCGAAACCAACTCCAAAGCAGAATCTCGAACGGCAGCTACTTTATCACTTAATAAAGTTGTTGCTATATAAACGATATGTTTGGCCGCATCCGCGGGTCGAAATAACGGCAAAACCAAGCGTAATTGTTCCGCTAATTCTTGTCGAAACCTCCAATTTAATTCGTTGTCTGCTTGAAGAAATTCGGTTAATCTAGGCAAGTAAAGAGCTCGCGTGATCGGCGATAACAATTTTAAAAATTCGGCTAAGTGTTCTAAAACTCCGATTCGAACTTCGTCCAAGTCTTTAATAAATCCCTCGAAAATGGGGACGAGATTGTTCGTGGTGATTTCCGGGCCCAAAATCAATCCTAATACGTGTAAACTACTCGCAACCGTTCTTCTAACTTTATATTGTACGTCTGAAGCTAAATCTTCGATTGTATCTTGAAGAATGTGCCAATTCTCACTTCCTATAGCCAAAGCCACAGCTGGTAAAGAGTAAGCGCAATGAAACGCCATTTCGTTGTCGGTGTTTCTCTGTAGAGATGGATCAGTCATCGACATAAAGTGAAGAACTAAAATTTCAGGTACGCATTTTTTCCGGGAAATATCGAGCTGTTCCGACGATTCAATCGATGAAACAGATTCTTTAAATGTATCACCTAAAAAAAATAATTAAATAATTAATGATTAAGGAGTTAAATTTTTATGAATTAAGGTGAATTCATTAATTTAATCATAGTCTGCCTTATGCGAATGTTTTCATTGACAAAATCTCATGGCATAAATTTAATCATTTTAAAAATTATTTTTTTATACAATAAATATTTTATTTACCTTCTAAACCCATGGTGAATGTATGATCTGAGGAAGAATTTTTAGTTAATGAATCGTCCAGTCCAAGCGATGAAAATAAATTACTTAGATGATCCTAAAACAGAAAAATTAAAACTATTTTAATTATTGGCGAAGAAAATTGTACAAAGTAAAGTAGTTTTGATTAATGTATCAGATTTTATGTTAATTAACTTCATATTTTTGTCAGAAGACCGTCATGATTTTTCATCATGTATAAACTTAGTTTGGATTTGGTGGAAAATCTTGGAATGTGTACAACACCTAAAAGGACAGGATAGGACCAGATTTAAGTAAGTGTTGCCATCTAGTGATGAAATGTAGGTAAATAATAAATGCAATTAATAAGAGAAGCATTAATAAAATATGAATCAATTAAAACTGTGAAACCTAAAGAGGAGTCTGTAGAAAAGATTTTAGAAGCATTAAAAGAATACTGTGTTCCCAAAACGAATAAAACAGTACAGTTATTCAAGTTCTTTAAAAGAAAACAAGAAGATAATGAAAGTTTTAAAAAAGATTTTAAAAAACTAGTAAGGTTATGTGAATTCAAGACCCAAGAAGATAAATTATTAAAATCCTAATAATTCTTTAAGTGAAATCAAGAGGACTTCAAGAAAGACTCTTAAAGGAAGTATATAGTAGAAATATCGAATCCTAAACAAGAGACGACAGAAGAAGTACATGCAATGAAGAAATCTACATGGAAAAAGAAAGAAACAGTTAGAGATAAGGTAATATATTGTAAACGTCGTGGTTATATGCATACTGAACAAAATCGTCCTGCTAAAGGTGGTAATCTTCGTAAAAAAATTAAACCATTTGACGAAAGTATGTAGAAATAAATTTAGTAAAAATAAAGGTTTAAAGTTAATTGAAGTCTATGAACAAGTATATAAACAATGTAATATAAAAAAAGGTAAAGGGAAAAGAAATATCGAGAAATAATAAAGTGTCACTCCAAAGTTATCAAATAAAAAATGGTTTCGTGTCTTTGACCTTAAAGATGGATTTTATCAAATTAAACTTGAAGAGGAATCTTCTAAATTGTGCACATTCATTTCACCATTTAGATGTTATAAATTTAATAGAGCACCATTTGGTCTTAATTCAGTCCCAGAAGTTTTTCAAAAATATATTTCTAAATATTTTGGTGACTTGAAAGGAGTGATAATTTATTTTGATGATGAAAATGAATTTGGATGCACTCCATGTTTTTATAATGGACATTCCTCTGAATGTACAAACGCTCACGGTTATTCTAAATTTCAAATGAAATCAACTTTTGCTAAGAATAGCGAAAGGTGGACCGCTGAAGATGAGAATAAAAGAAGCACTGCAGTGCAATTTAATGCTTTGAGTCAAAATTTAGGTGTAATTACGAAGCGATTTACTTTTTGGCACCGGATAGATTTTTGGGGGACCAAAGAGCTTCTTACAATCAATTTTTAAAGTTTTCATTAAGAATTGGCGAAAACAACCCGATTCCTAAAACGGCTGATATCACGTTAGAAGGTTCTGGATCTTATATAAGAAGCGCTATTTTCGCGCAAAAAAATCCTATGCCATCTGTTCAAACTCAAGAATATAAATTCCGTTTACATCAAGATCCCAAATTTGGTTGGCAACCGAAACATTCCGCGAGAGCTTTCGTTTCCATCCTAACAAATTTAACCGCGATTAAAATTCGTGGCACATACACACCCGGAGGAGTTGGATTTTTAAACAATTTCCGTTTGGAGACTGCGTCGAGAGGAGTCGCTGGAAAACCAGCGAATTGGGTTGAACAATGCGAATGTCCCGAAGGATATGTAGGCCAATTTTGCGAATCTTGCGCTCCCGGATACAGACATTCCCCGTCTTTAGGAGGACCTTTCATGCCGTGTATTCCGTGTGATTGCAACAAACACGCCGATTTGCGATTCGGAAACTGGAAAATGTATTTGTCAAGATAAAACTGCCGGGGATAACTGCGAAATTTGCGCTAAAGGATATTTGGAAATGCTCTTGGAGGTAATTATGAATTTGATTTAATTGCGTTTGATTGATTTAGGTACCCGAAATGACTGTAAACCTTGCGGTTGTCCCAATGGAGGTGGCTTGCATTCAACTTGACGAAGAATTGATTATGAGTATTGAATGTCCTTTGGAATATACTGGGCACCATTGTGAGTCTTGTGCTGATGGTTACTTTGGGGATCCTTTAGGCAAATATGGACCTCTTAGCGAATGCCAGCAATGCGATTGCAACTTTAAGATCGACTTAAACGCAATTGGAAATTGTAATACAACAACTGGAGAATGTCTTAAGTGTGTTCATAACACAGGGGGGCCTAGATGCGATAAATGTTTATCAGGTACAATTAATTTTTTTTAATTTACAAAATTTTATATTAAATTTCTTTTAGGATTCTTTGGTGATGCTTTAAAGTTACCTAAAGGTGATTGCCAGCAATGTGAATGTTACGCACTCGCAACGTTGGAAGGACCAGATGGAATTCCAATTTGCGATCAATTCAGTGGGACTTGTAGTTGCAAAAATCATGTTCAAGGAAGAAATTGCGATCGTTGCGAAATCGGTTATTTCAACATTAATAGTGGAGAAGGTTGTGAATCTTGTAACTGCGACCCTGTCGGTTCAATAAACAACATCTGCAACCTCTACAATGATCAATGTAACTGCAAACCGGGAATAACAGGATTAAGATGCAATCAATGCGAAATATACAAATACGGATTTTCATCCGAAGGCTGCAAATCATGCGATTGCGACCCTATTGGATCTAAAGAGCCCCAATGTAACCCACTTGGCCAATGTCCTTGTTTCGATAACGTTGAAGGAAAAAGATGCGATCGATGTAAAGAAAATAAACACGATCGTCAAAGAGGTTGCATTGATTGCCCTGACTGCTACAACCTCGTTCGAGATGAAGCTCACGCTCATCAAAAGAAGATAGAACATCTTAGAACGATTATCGACGACATCGAAGGAAGCCCAACCGTTGTTTTTGATGACCAATTCGAAAAGAAAATAAAAGAATTAAAAGCTGAAGTCGAAAGATACTACCAACTAGCTAAAGATTGCACAGGGGGTGATGGAGATAAAACAATTTCCGAAAAACTTAACGATATCAGAGAGAGAGAGAGAAAAAGAAATATCAAGGGTTTTATCCCAAATCGATGAAAGCTATGTGCTGCAGATGAATTGAGGGAAATAGTTGAGAGTGTGTTAGATACGGCAAGAAAATATAGTATAAGGTTTAATCCAGATAAATTACAATATTTTGGAAACGAAGTGAAATATTTTGGTTTTATACCGTAAAACGGGGTTACTTTGGCAGGTTTTGACCTATTTTGGTATGCTAAGCCACAAACCGCTAGGAAAATTAAAATTTTAAAAATTGCATCGTGCCTTGTGTATAATTAGTAGATCATCCTAAAATGGTATGATTTTATCAACACATATCGGAGAAAAAAATCTTTTTATGGAGTGCCAAAGTAGGCAGAAATTTGGGGTTACTTTGGTAGTACATAAAAATCCTGTTTGCGCTAAAATAGGGGCTATTTAAAGCCTTCTTGGGCGACCCGGGAGGCGGTTATGTTGACCCTTCAACTTGTTTTGAAGAGTCCCTCGTAAAATTTTGAAGCGTAAACTTGCCGCCCCTAATGGCCGCCAACGCATTTTGAAAGTCACTTTCACTATAGTTCTTATAGGTATGCGCCTCAAATTCTCTCTGATAGTTTCTAGGCATTTTTACTTACTTTAGACCTGTAACAACACGGAACCACTGAAAAGAAAAGGATAAAATAAAGAAATAATAATAAAAAAATATATACAGGGTGTATCTGAATGACGTGCCCAAACTTCAGGGAGTGATTCTTTATTTTAAGGGTACTTTCTCATATAAACTATCAGCGATTTCGACTCCCCTTCAAAAATGGCGAAAAATTTTGGTTTATTTTATTTTTCCCGAAAACCATTAACACCAAGAAAATGAAATTTGGGAAATATGGTTAGCTTCTAATAGGGCATGTTTCGAGCCTATTTGTACTTTCAATCTTCCCTTCTAAGTTACTAAACATAACCACCCCCGTTCAATTTTTGTCTAGATATTTTTTATGACGATGATAAATACATTGGAAATATTTTATTTAGATAGACGAAAATATTCTAAAACTTTTTTGCCTCTCTGATGTTCTTCGAAAAGTTAATAGTTTCTGAGAAAAAAATTAATTAAGCAAACACTAACTGTTAAGCTGTAGCGTTGTTAATCGAAAGTTGGAATGAATTATTAAAGAAAAAATCTTAGCAGGCTTAGCAATCTTTGTCAGAAATATTTTTGACGTTTAAATGTCAGTGGTTTTCTTACTATTATTATTGTTTTATTTAAAATTTTGAAACGTCGAGTGAACGAGCGTAAATGCTGTAGAACTTTATTCATAAATTAATTTGAAAAACAATAATAATAGTAAGAAAACCACTGACATTTAAACGTCAAAAATATTTCTGACAAAGATTGGAAAGCCTACTAAGATTTTTTCATTAAAAATTCATTCCAACTTTTGATCGACAACCCCGTTGTTGAACGGGCAGTGTTTGCTTTATTATTTTTTTTCTCAAAAATTAGTCGTTTTTGGAAAAATTTTAGAGAGACAAAAAAGTTTTAGGATACTTTCATCTACTTATGTAATTATTTTTTTTTTATGTATTTACCCTCTGCATAAAAACATTTTAGCAAAAATATAAAGGGGGTGGTTACGTTTAGTAGTTTAGAAGGATAGGTTGAAAGTCCAAATAGGGTGAAAACGTACCCTACTACCAGTTAAACATATTCTCCAAATTTCGTTGCCTTTGCGTTTATGGTTTTGGAGAAAAAAAAATTTAAACCAAAATTTTCCGCCATTTTTGGAGGGGTGTAGCTCCTTAGGGGAGCCCAAGTCGCCCATGGTTTATATATCAAAGTACCCTTAAAATTGCCTAAAGAATCACCCCCTGAAGTTTGGGCATATCATTCAGATACACCCTGTATAAAGACGTGATAAACTGCCAGAGTAACCCCGTTTTACGGTATTTAACGAATTAGACCTCTAAAACCTTACTTAAAACGTCCAAACACTAAAAAGGAATTGCAATAGATTTTAGCCATTATAAATTATCTTAGAAATTTTATACCAAATCTGTCTAAAATAATATTCCCATGACCCCGTTTAGAAGTTTGCTTAAAGCGAATACTGAATGGTTATGGAATAATTCGCATACAAAAATATTTGATAAAGTTACAACCCAAATAAGTGAAGCATCCTTATTGGCTGCTTTTGACCCAAAAGTAGAAATTGAGTTGCAGTGGGATGCATCCAAAGATACTCTTGGATGTTGTCTATTGCAAAAACGAAAACCAGTAAATTACGCCCAGATTGAAAAAAAAACTTTTATCTATAACTATTGCAATTGCTAATCCATATTTGCGCGATTTGGTATTCCAGCTCTCATAATAGCCGATAATGTACCATTTGGAAGTGAGGAATTTAGAAAGTTTTGTAAAACATGGAATTGTTCTATTAAAACAAGCTGAAAAAGCAATAGGCATAGTAAAGAAGACGATGAGAAAAGCTAGAGAATCCAATAGTATTTCAAATTGTTTCTGTTGAATTTCTGTAGTTCAACTACAGAAATCTTTCTGTAGCTGCAGGATTGAAATATTCGCCATCACAATTGCTTTTTATTTATCAAAACGTAAAAGTAAGTAATGAAAGTGAGTAATAAAAGGGAATTGGAATTTAAAAGAATTAAATAATAAAATGTTAAGCAAATAATAAATAAGAAACAACATGATAAAGCGATTATTGTTAAAGTATTGAAGACCCCTAGAGGTCATACTTAATTAAAACCGAAAATAATAAGTATTATAGAAGAAATGTCTTTTTTATAAAAGATAGGTACTACCTGAGCAGTACCTGACCCTATTCCTCTAAATAATGATTCTGATGTAGAGATAATCCCAAATGAAATAGAACAAAATGAGAATAACGAAACACCAATAACAACTAGTAACTAATAACAACAAACATAAATCCACCAGCTGACTTAATTTGTAAAGATATTTATAATGTTAAGTTTAAGTTGACTGCTGCAACAAAGCTGATTTTAAATAATAAACAGTATTACATTCTACACCTGTTTTTATATTATTGTATAAAAGACAATAATAAACAGGAATGGGAATTAGATAAGAGTAGGAACCAGAAAGTGAATGACATATTCAAGGAAAGAGGAAATACATGGAGATAGGCCAAAAATAAGACAAGAAACAGAAAGCTGGAAGTGATACTATAAAAACTACAGACACTTAACAATATAAGAGAGACCGATATATATATTATAATTATTAAGGGGGGAAAATAAAGTTACCGTTTGAGCTGTTGAATAATTTGTTGATGCATCGCTATTTTCTTGTTCAACTTTTCCTTCTTCAACTATACTCAAATCGACAGGAATATCCGGACTAATATACCAATAATTATAAGAATTAAATTGATTTAAATCTCCATCATCCTTCTTAATTATCGTTTGCTCATCCTTCTTAACAACATCCCTTTTCTCAATAGTTCTTAAATCAACATCTTCAACACCAACATCATCCAACAGAATCTCAGTCCCAATAAAGTCTTCATTATTGAACTCCTTATTATTCTCAAAACAACCCTCCTCGCTTTTATTACAATCACTCCTAAAACTTAAGACCGCGTTTTTCACCGTTTCAACAATCTCTTTAATATCTTCATTTTCTTTAATTGTCCCCGTTGAAAACTCTGCCAAAGACGAAGATTGATTGACTAACGTTTCGTCGTCGTCCGTAAAAACATCGTCGGCAATCACTTCGCCGTATAAAGCTTTCGAAACGACGTTATAACTTTTTTGGATGATAACATCTTCGAGTTTTTTATCAATATCGGTTACTTCGACGGATGTTGAGGATTCGGTTGATTCATCATCTTCGGACATTGGAATGTCGATTGTTATGTCACCCGCTTCGCGGACGTCGTAATCGTCTAAGCAAGGATCTTCAAGTGGATTAAAATTGAACATGTTTTTGACGACGTAATCATGTAACATTTCGAATTGGCGGTGACGAAATGTTGTTTTTATTCTAAATGTAACAAAAAAATAATAATATGTAATTTAATAATGAAATAATTTGAGTAATTATATTTTTGTATTCTGGATTAATCAGATTTATTTTAAAATGTCTTCAGATTTTATGTTTCAGAAGACCATCGTGAAAATATCATCATTTTGTTTTTAATTTTTATTAATTTATCTTTATTAATTACCTAAAATCAGTTCCATCTGTATTGACATAAATTTGTTCGCCAAGATTGCCATATAATGATATTGAATTAGCCGGATCGGCAAAAGTTGATATAAATGGACCTAAAGTTTGAAAGGCCGACATTCGCACCCATCGACTTGAATCTTTCAGTAGATTGACGAAAATCGGCACCAAAGAGGTTCTTCGAATTTCTGGTGGACAACCGTAAGAAACTGAAATGGCCATATCCGCGCAGACTTTTCGTACAGTCCATTCCGGGTCGTTACATAAATCTATAAAACTTGGTAACTAAAAAAGAAAAATTAATATTAATGCTTAAACGTTGATTAATGAGATATTACCAAAACTTTTTCGTAAGCATTCTTCCCAACGACCGAACAAAAATTATGAAATTGAACAGCACATACTCGTCGTATTGTAACGTTTTTGTCGTGGCACAATTCCGCAAAACGGTCAAGCAAAACCCGTTCTGTAACTTCCGGTCCAAGGAAAGTCGCAAGTTTACTCATTAACTAAAATAAAAAGATAAGAAAACAACGACGATTAAATATTTTCTTTTAATAGATTAACTTTAACAAAAATAAAGCGATAATTAAAAATATTTATATATAAAATACAATAAATTTTACTCAAAATGCAATATACAAAAATATATTTCCATAGAAATCAGGGCGTACCTACTTACTTTTCCCCACATAAAATGCAACATGTCAATATAATTTGACATCACACTAAAACCTCGATGGAAAGGATTAATAGAGGGAAGGCAGCGTCTGTTATAGCACAATAAAAATATACAATGATCTAGTGCTGATTAACAAATAAACTAGACTAATACTAGCACTAGAACTAACACTAGACGGCTGGTAGGTAGTAGGTAGCGCTAGTTAGCATAAAATATTATGTTGCATACTTTTATTGAACTAAAACTAGAACTAACACTAGAACTAGAAAGTTTCGGGTTTAGCCGTCTTTAGAGACGTGTGGCTAAACCCAAATGATTCTAGTTCTAGATATAGTGTTAGTTCCACATAGTAACAGTGTTAGTGTAAAACTAGAACTAACACTAGACCTAGAACTAGAAACATTCGGGTTTAGCCGTGCGTCTGAAGACGCACGGCTAAACCCGAAACGCAGCACTAGATTGTTATATATTTTTATTGAACTAAAAATACAACTAACACTAGACCAAGAATTAGAATCATTCGGGTTTAGCCGTCTTTGGACACGTATGGCTAAACCCAAATGATTCTTCTTTTAAGTCTAATATTAGTTCTAGTGACAATGCACGTGTAAAACTAGAACTAACACTATACCTAGAACTAGAATCATTCGGGTTTAGCCGTCTTTACAGACGTGTGGCTAACCCAAATAATTTTTGTTCTAGGTAGTGTTAGTTCTACATAATAACAGCGCTAGTGCAAAACTAGAATTAACACTACACCTAGAAATATTTGGGTTTAGACGTCTTTAGAGACGTGTGGCTAAACCCAAATGATTGTAGTTCGAGGTATAGTGTTAGATCTACATAGTAACAGTGCTACTGTAAAACTAGAAGTAACACTAGACTTAGAACTAGAAATATTCCAAAATTTTCTAGTTCTAGGTCTGTCTAGTGTTAGTTTTAGTTTTAATTGTTATGCAACGCTAGATTGTTGTATATTTCTATTGGACATAAAAACGTCACCTTTTCCAAGCAAAACTTTTCCTTTGCAAAACTACCCAATTACCTGTAGTATTAAGCTATGTTGCATTTTATGAGGGACAGTGCAAGTACAGGGTGGGCAAATTTGGGTGTTATTTATAGGCTATCTCAGAAACTATAAGAGATACGAAAAAAGTAGGTGCCATGTCCCGATCTCTTTTTTCGAAACTAACCCAATTCCGCAAACACCAAACCTCTATCTTCTTTTGTTTTTAAGTTATAGCCAAAAAGTCAAATTTTAGTGATTTTAAAAAATGCTCATATTTCGTTTATTTTTGAAATTAGAGAAATGAGGTTGATACGTTCTTAAGACACTTTTTTAAGTAGAATATACTGCCGTTGAAAAATTTTAAAAATAATTGATGATTTTTGAGATACAACACAAAGTTGTATTTTTTTAAATGCAAACTATACTTGATTATAATGTTAATGAAAAGAGCATATTTTTAGCTTTTCAATGATGTATTGCACGTATAGTGTATTTGGGGAAAATAAGCGTCATTTTTTAATTCTAAAATATTAAAGATTAATATTCAAAATTTTAATTATAGTAGGCGAGGAAAACGTTAAATGCCACTTAGTTACTATAGTAACGTGAGTTTATTAATCATTTCATTCATGAATTTTTCGAAACAAGTTTCCCGCTTAAAAATTCCTCATTATCTTTAAATACATAAAGCGATAAAATTAAAAAATGATTCTTTGAAATGAAATGGAAAGTCCGCTGCCCAGTTTAACATCCCTAATCTTCCTCTATCTTACCCAATTTCAAAAGAAAAGGTTGCTAATATGAAAAAACTTCTAAATCTCATGGTTGGGGAAAACTGGGAAGATACTAAATACTGAAGATTTCATTCATTGATACCCAACTGTTCTAACCTTACAACCAGTAAGTTTAGTAGAAGAAGATGACACAATCTGTGACTGTTTAGTTCCTGAAGTTGTTGTTCATATTTAATTATTCATTAATTAATACGTTTATTGTATTTTTAATAAACAAATTTTATCCACAAATAATATTTTATTGGTGAACAAAGTCAGGGATAAGACACTGCGAAATTTAAATCAATTATTCAAAGTTTTTATTCGTTGGTACAAAACCAACTTTATCCTGCATAATGGTACAAGACCAACTTTCTATCATATTCGTGCAAAACCATATAGCAATTAGGTAGTAATTAGTAATTACTGTCCGAACCCGCCTACTATAATCAAAATTTTTAACTTTAGCGCTTAGTATTTTGGAATTGAAAATTAACGCTTATTTTCCGCAAATACACCATACATGCGATACATCATTGGAAAGCTAAAAATATGCTCTTTTCATTAACATCATAATCAAGTATAGTTTGTATTTAAAAAAATACAACTTTGTGCTGTATCTCAAAAATCATCAAATATTTTTAAAATTTTTCAACGTCAGTATATTCTACTTAAAAAAGTGCCTTAAGAACGTATCAACCTCATTTCTCTAATTTCAAAAATAAACGAAATATGAGCATTTTTTGAAACCACGAAAATTTGATTTTTTTGGCTATAACTTAAAAACAAAAGAAGATAGAGGTTTGGTGTTTGCGGGATTGGGTTAGTCTCGGAAAAAGAGACCGGGACATGGCACCTACTTTTTTCGTATCTCTTATAGTTTCTGAGATAACCTATAATAACAGCCAAATTTGCCCACCCTGTACATACTAGTTTTGCAACTAAGGTTACTGCATTCGTATATTGAAATATGAAATTTCCGGTATATTTGTTGTACGTTTTATTTCTTAACGCTCATCAAAGCTGGCTGTGATATGTTCGTTCACCACATCACAACCACTTGACGAGCATCAAAAAACATCAAAGGAATTATTTCATCATAACATTAAAATAATACGAAGAATTACAAACACGAAACGTTGGTTTTCAGCGATGTTCCGCTCATCAAAGCTGGCTGTGATATGAGCAGACATCATTTCACAACCCTTTGATGAGCGAAAAAAACACCTACTTAAATGATCCACCTTCAAATTGAATAAAATTTGGTTGTTGAAATTGTTAAACAGCTTAACTCGTCAAAATGGCTGTGATATCACTATCAAATGCTAAGATTTCACAACCAAGTTGACGGTTGAGACGTCAACTAAATACTTCTTCATTAATGTTGATGATTTTTTGATGGTTGTGATGGTGGCAGGAGAAATTGTTGATTGTAGAACAGTCCCAGCTCATCAAAGTGGCTGTGATATCTTGCAAATAAAAAGAATTCACAGCCAAGTTGATGACCGGGTCAGCTCCGATTTAAGTCGACTTAATCTAAGAAATTTAAGTAGCATCTTCATAGTTAAAAGTTTAGTTATTACTCAACTGTGCTCATCAAAGCTGGCTGTGATAGAGTGCACAAAATCTAACAACAGCCAGACTTTGACGAGCAAAGGCAAGCAAAGTAATACATACAATAAAATGTTGTCCATAATTCAAAAGAAATAAGTTCTTCAAATAAGGTAGGAAAACTAGCAATTATAATATTAGAATTAAAATGTATGGTATTGAGTTGGTAAATAAATCAACATTTCCCTTCAATGTAGCAATGATTCTGTGTTGTCGACTGAACTCTCCTTGATTTGGGATAAATAAATGAATTCAATTTCTGAGACAACTTCAGCAATCTTCGAAAATCATGGTACAATTTACATTGATGAGGAACAATGAAAATATCTCTTACATAACCAAAAATTATCTCTAAGTATCATTCATCAGGTTCCATATAAGATTCAATTTGTACCTTTCTTCTTCTTAGTTGACATTTAACAATCAACATTGGATTACATGATTATGGTCTGTCCATTCATAACAATTATTTGCTCATTGGATCCAAATAAAACCAACCGGCTCATTGTTATGGTATTCAATATACAGAGAAAACTATTTAAAAATGAATAAAATATCAAAATAATGGGATATTCTCAAAGGTTTTTTGCACACACAAATGTTTTATGTATGGTTTATCTAGCCATCACTGCAGCATTAATCCTTTCCCCCTCAAGTTCTTCTAATGTGTTTGGTAGTGGGGGATATGTAAATAAGATCCTTAATGTGCCCCCAAAGCAAGAAATCACAAGGCGTTAAGGTAATCAGCATGGCCCAGATTTTATGATCCAAATTGAAAAAAAAATTTCATGGACCTAGTTTCGTGTTCAACAAGATTCATTCACTTCATTTTACACAAAAAAATTCTTAGACATAATCATACTGTTAGTTATTTCAAGTGTATGTAAACCCTTAAGCTAATATATGATTTATATAATTCAATGCTTTTACATAATTTTACAAATATGAACCAAATGAAGCAGTAGTTTAATAATAATCAGTAATCTTTATACTCTTGTTTAGACATAATTCTTGTTAAACCAATTCGTTTTAGTTTCTAAATATGATATTCATCTGTACCATATCACAGGGTTTAGCAGCTCTACATGATAAAACAATGTAAAAAGCAGATTTTGACATCATATTCTAATTGGTTATTGGATAATTCCTTATTTATATCCACCTCACTCTCTTCATATTTTACTTGAATTGTTGTTTATCTTGATTCCACTCCTGCATCTTCAATAGTACTTAAAAAAATATAATAATGTTGTATGTTTTCTTGGTTAATGTTATAATCCTAAAATTTGGTTTGATATTATTATTGGTATATTAAAACAATTTGAAAGTTCATGTAAAAATTAATATACGCAACCCAATAGCATCTTCTGCATTTTTGGTTGCATAACAATCCGGTTATTTTTGTTCCATATAGGTTAAGTTTATGTTTCATTTAAAACACATACAAAAAAAAATAATACTAAATTGTTTACATTGCATCATTAATACACAAGATTAATTAAAAACAATGTAAAGAAGTAATAAAAACACATTAATTAAGTACATGTCAACAAATTTGAGGTTATGTTGATAACTTAATAATAAAATAATTATAAAGATATCGTTGTTGTTTGCCCCGTTTCATGAAAGACAAGGTAGTGAGAGGCAAACCAGCATTAAAAAAACATCTCACTACCCATGTCTTTCACGAAACAATTAGCAATTTTAAAGTTCCATTATCAATCATAAAAATTATCTAATTTAAATTGGGCTTAGTTATCGAAACTGATGCATACCGTCAAAGCAGCGGTGATGATAGTACTTTCAATTCCTTTATGAGGACCTTCTCTATCCCTGGATAATGCGAGAACCGTAGGACACACCTTTACTTCGATGTCTCTCAACGAAACCAACTCCAATTTTATCATCGAGAATAAGGCAGTTTGGACGCATCTCCATACATCGTCGTTGTCGGCTCTTAAATTCCTTACAATTACCGGTAGTAAATACTGGGACGAGATGTTTTCGAGGGCTGGTATTCTTGCGGAACATTCTTTCGCTATAACCGCTACATTTGGGATTTGTTTCAAGTATTCTTTGCGAGCGAGATCTAAATTAAAAGAAAAATATTAAGATTAGTATTAAGTTATTTTGAAAAAGAAAGAAAAAAGAAAAAAAAACCGGCATTTATCCACGAGGTAAAAAAAGAGGAGTAGGTGTGCAAATGGCGGGAGATATTCGTTTAATAATTCCCCATTTTAACGAACACGTTTAGAAAACTCACCTCCTTAGTATGTTGTGAACACTTTGACGCAGCAATGCGGCGCAAAAGCATCCGCAAAGCGAATAAAAAAAAACGCGGCGATGCACAAGCACGCGGTTCACCACCATCTTGAATTGAAGCCAAATATGGATACTTGCAGGTTATCCACCGGAACGTAAAAGCGATTTTCGTCGGACGTACGTTTCGACCGTTTAAAATTTGATCGCGCTTACGATTACCGTACCGAAACCGAATCAATTTGTTGCGTTTCGTTTCTTTTTTACGATTCAAAACGGTTATTTCAATGGAAGAAAACGCGGAGAAGAAACGGCACGCACGCACACCTTCTCGACTCTCCGCCTCATCGAACGGTTTTCGCTCGGTGGCCGCGAGAGCGCGCTCTCGACGGTGTTTCTGCGTCTCACGTGTATATACTCGACGCGAGCGCCGCGCCGTCCGTCTTTCTCCCTTTCTCGCTCTTTCTCTCTCTCTCTCACGCTCTCGCTCCATCTCGTTCTCACTTGGCGAACACGAAAACGTCGTCGTACTCAGGGATCGTTGCCCGCTCGTGTAGTACGAGCGCGTTCATTGAGTTTTGCTGCGGCACCGCCCCAACAACAACCCAACCTGAGAGAAGGACCTAAAGCGTTCGCTTCGACGCCGTACGACGACGTTTTCATTCTCCGTCTCTTTTACACACTCCATCTATTTTTTTCCTTCCTTCTTCTTCCTTTACTTTTTTTATTTAAAAAATATTATTTTAATCAAGTCAACTAATTTTATAGATAACTTCATTAATCCAAATCTAACCTCAATTTTATAAAATGTCAGCATTCGAAATTTCTAACCTTAAACAATTTTATTAATAATTATAAATTATTTCTTTAAATAAATTTAAAAAATATATAAATCTTTCTTAAACTTCTCCGTCTCTCTTTCTCTTTCCGTGGTGTGTTAGAGAGATGATAACGGGCGTGGGGTGAAATCGATAAAGTGCCCGAGGGTACTAGATTTTCTCGGGGCAACTTCCGAACGGTGCCGGCGTCAACGGCGTCGTCCCTTTAGTTGCAACAGTCTCCTCAAAAACAAGGTGGAGAAGAGATTTCAGACCATCGTTGAAGCGGTTAGGTCACGGTTAATACTTTTTAGTTATCGCCGCCGTCTATCCGGTCCACTTATCGCTATCAATGGGACGCGGTTCATTCAAAAGTCGTTTGCTGTTAGCTGCCGCTGCTGCTCTCTACAGGCGAAATTACGATGATGTCACGGGAAGTGGTGTTTGTGCGCGTGTGAGGAAACGTTTCGCGGAAAATCCATAAGAAATTATGTAATGAATTATTTTTATTTATTTATAACAAAATCAAATATATGATAATGTTTTAATATATAAAACGGACGGAAAGAACTAAAATATCGTTCTAACCTCTAAAACGTTAAGGTGATATGATAATCTAACCTTAAAAGTATCCCTAGAGTAGTACTTGTAATAAAGACTACTACCAATAGAAAAAATAAGATTATATCAATCTGAAACTGGTAATTATATTGTAGCGCCTTGCCCTCAAGCGATTTCGGCGATGTTAGATGATATCATAACACTTTAATCTATCTTCACTTCGCAGAGGTCGTTTGGGGGCGAGGCGCTAGAACCGATAGTTCATATCAGCTTTAAGTTGATATAAAAGATATCCAGCGCCTCGCCTGCAAGCGACGTTAGCTAAGTGAGGATATATTACAGTGTTATGCGCTTAGTTTACTTATTAAGGTATCAAATGTACGATATCATCTAACATTGCAAACGTAGCTTGAGGGCAAGGCGCTAATACCGATAGTTTATACAAGATGTCTGTAAGTAGAGTGAAAGTAATAAACATTTTTGATCTAAACCCATAAATGGCATACAACATGTATGTATAAAAGCTTTACATTGACATAATAAAATATTCAGCGCCTCCCCCGCAAGCGACCTCGGCGAAATGAAAATATATTAAATTGTTATACGCTTAGTTTACTTATCAAAGCATCAAATAAACCATATCATGATATGTATCATATTAACTAAAAGCTAATATAAACTATCGGTTCTAGCATCTCGCCCGCAAGTGACCTCGGCGATGTTAAATCATATCGTTCATCTGATGTTTTGAAAAGTAAACCAAGCATATAACACTTTAATATATCTTCATTTCGTAAATATCGCTTGTAAGCGAGATGATGGAGAGCTAACATCTTCACTTGGTATTGATGCACTGTCGGCTACACTGTTCAATCAGGTGCTGGAAGCAGTCATCAGAAAATTAGACTCCGCTCTTTATGCCAATAACAAAACAACTATCAGTAGAGGTGAGAGGACTGTGAAGAAACTTGACCCTATTGGCCACCGAAGCACAAAGGAAAAATGAATGAAGAAAAAACTAAATATATGACACTACAACGGAACACAATAATGAACAACAACGCAGATTTGGAAGTCTGAAGAAGATTACATAGAATAACAGATGCTATTTTACGAGAAACCGATCAAATCTAGAAGATCACCAGCACTGAAATGTAGCAGCATTTTATTGATGACTTGATACAATGTCGTCAGGTATTAGATGTACTAAAAATCCTTAACTTCAGAAATCGATTCTAAAATATGATCCCTTAAAATTAGAAACATGAAATTAAGCAAGACATTCATGGAAAGTCAAAAATTACGATTGGGATTTGGTTATAAAAGATGGTCTACGTATATGTATGTGTTTTGGTTATTTGAAATATGGCGAAATTTACTAAGGAAAGAGCACCAGAAACACTTATCCCAGATTCAATTCTGATGGAGTTGTTGTCGACCTAACATGGGTGGAGTCAAAATTACATGGTATTTTTATATATACGATACTAATATTACCAAGAGCACAAAGATGGCAAAAAGATTTCATCAAACGGTAGATTAAGGCATAACATACGTTTACTATATTCAGTGGGCTGTTCTTCTTTTCTTTTTAATAAATTGAATATCGTAGAAATCAATTTAAATAAGCACAAAGCTGACTACTTGTGAGAGCAGAACTTTTGTCAAATATTAAAGATATTGTAGACTTTTCGTTGGCACCGATCCTGATAAGATTTATAGGGGCATGAACATAAAATTAATACGTATAAATATTAAAAAATATGTTTTTAATTATAGTCACTTTTTATAACTTTAATATTTATAGGTTAATCTCGTGCATAACCATCTCGTGTTTCATTATCATTTTTTTTATTTATACATGTGAAGAAAATGTATGAACGAACACATCAAAAAGAATAAGGTGAACTACTTAACAAAATATCTTAAAATATTTAATAAGACAATTATTGATGTATGACGATCAATATACTATATAGTACCATCAATATATTATGCGAAAGATATATTTTTTTATAAACATTTTGTTAGAGGCACATCAATCGATAGATTTGAAGGAAATACAAATATAAAATAATTGTACCTGATATGCACAACAATCCGTCCTATGATGAGTTATTTCAACGGAAATTTCCAAGCTAGTAATAAATAGTACTATTACTCAATCAATTGAAGAATTTTAAAGTACCCGTCACTTGCCCATGAATTGTATGTAGGTATAATTGCGTTTATTTTCATGGGCTAAAACAGAATAGGGGTTGACATATTATGCTCGACAATGTCTCTAAGAAAACTTAGATTTTTATTCTCGTTATCTGTGAGTTAGTATCACCACTACAAGTAATGAGAAATGTTTGCCGAACAAAGTTAACAATTAATGGTTGGTTCTAAATATTTGGTCCCAAAATGCTACAAACAAGCAAAAAGGTGGTGAAAGTCTTTGCTGGATTGGAGAAGGTGAATGTCCTTGAATGAGAAGAGCATCTAACATTTAAGGAGAGAATACTTGATGGGGCGATAGCCGAAAGAAATCTACAAACTAAAATAGCAATGTATCTATGCTAAACATCATGCAGTGGGATAAAACTGTTGGAAAGTCTATACTGGAAAAGATTAGAAACGAAGACATAATAAAAGCAAAACATGACATTGTAGATGATATAAGAACTGCCCAACTGAAATGGTAGGAATGGATGTTCAAAGAATGGGTCCAAGATCAACTACCAAAGAACTGCACTGGATACCACAAGGAAGAAGAAGAAGAGAATATTGATCTAAATATCAAAACGATATTTAGACTAAAGTTGACTTTTAGCTGCAAAACTTGGGTACTTACAGAATGAGAAAAGAATAATTTGCATACCATGGAGATAAAGTACCTGATAAAAGTAAAAGGTGTGACAAGGGATAAGATTAGAAAAACAGCGATGTAAGAAGAAAATTGAATATTCACCATTGAGTGTCACTTACAAAGCATACATAACACTAGACAAGTAAAGCAGGTGTACAGAACTTATAAAATAATAACAGAATAATAACAGAACAATAAAAAATTTTAATGCAACAGAAAATCTATCTTGAAATTTGGACATTTTAATCTATCATATGTCAAAAGCTGCAAGTAAACCTGTGTCAACATTCTGCCGAAAGTGTTGAAGCAATAGTTCTCGCCTCCTCAATTCCCCAACATTTCCAATTTCGTATGGATTATCCAAGTCCACACGAGCAAGAATGACAGTATCTGTTATGAGTTTTAGTCTTTCGTGTCTAGTTTACGATTATTTAGTTAGTTAAAACGACAAATATGGAATTTAATTGGAATTTACTAAAATAAACGAAATGTATTAAGTATCTTAAAATCTATCGTGAAACAAACTTCTTTACCGTTTTTTTTCTGTCTTTTTCAATTACATTAAAACGATCTACACGCATACGAGGAGAAGCTCTTATCCTTTAAAAGTTATTTTTAATCCCCCTTTTATCGTCTCTCTACTACTACTTGAAATAAATTTAAACTTTTACCCCCGAACGAACACCGAAAACGGAAACGAAAAAGAAAAAAAAAACATATCAAGAGATTGAGAGTCTCGTCTATTCGCGGAAGAAGAACGCATCATCGTCATCCCGAGGGGGACGAACGATGAAGGAAGACGAGACGTAAAGAAGAGTTGACGGGGAACGAATAAAGAAGGGAGAAGCGGTAGTGCGTGCTATTTTTAAAGATCCGAGAGACCGTTTCCGGTGGTACAGGAAGTCGGCACATGTTGGGATTGCCCCCTGCGAGCGCTCTTAAGATATTTTTAGGATGACTATTTTTCAAATTTAACTTCATTGATTTCGATATATATTATACGTTGAAAAATTTTTCATATTCAATGCAATGTAGGAAATGAAGTAGGGTAAGGGGAATATGATGTAGCGTTTCACAAAATGTTTGCTTAAAAATGTTATCAACAAAATCCTGTATTTATTATTTACTTATTTGCGCATGTGTAACGGTTTTTGTAATCGATTTTTGGTACTTATTATATTACTTATTTTTTTAAATGAAATCATAATATATGTGTACATCTGCCGTATAATAATATCCTCAAGGATTAAAATCCATCGTCATGCTGAGTATGTCTAGATCAATTAGTTTTGTGTTGTAAAACATGGTACAGTGGCCAGGTGTTGGAAATAATTAACACTATCCCTGCACCTCTATAAAGGCAATGAAAAATCTTTAACATCACATTTGTTTTGTCGTGAGTAAGCTGTTTGCTTACTACATAATAATTAATAATAAGTTATGTTTGTAACTTTTTCGATGGACTTTTCCAAATTAACTTACAAAGTGTAAGTCTATTTTTACTTTAAAAAAACATTAACGAATACGATCGACGTTATTCGAAAAAGAGGGGAATCCTGCACAATTATAGTCCCCCAACGAACGTTTCCTCTCTCTGTGGCCATTTCCGGAAATACGACCACCGAAATAACTCCCCCCTCGTTCGAGTACACCTAATGGCACGTGGCTAAGTAAGTAGACGGGTGGAATTAGGCAGGAATGTCGCCACATACACACACACACACTCACTAAAAACCTATATCTTGCCACGTTTTCTGGGCAAACTTCCTGTCCCGTTTGTCGTCGAGGTTCTATTTGAATAGCATGTCAATATTTGATTTTGTGATGTGAACGGAAAGAGTACGCATTTTGACTTCTCTTAATTAAAAAAAAAGAATTAAAGCTTAAGATAATTTTGTAGCTAAAGAGATTTATATATAATCGGGATTAATAATATTTTGTTTTTTGATATAATTTTTGTTAATATTTTTTATACTCTATTTTTCAAAGCTATTTTTTGGCGGGAGTTTTAAAACGAGAGAGGATTTTAAGTAAACTGTAGTTACGAATTTAATTACTTATTTGTTTAAATATCATAAAAACCAGGGTGTACCTACCTAGTTACTTTGTCTCACATAAAATGCAACATGTCAATATAATTTGACATTACACTAAACTCCTCGATGTAAAGGATTAATACGGGGAAGGCAGTGTCTGTTATAGCTCAATAAAAATATACAATGATCTAGCGCTGAATAACAAATAAATTAGACTAATACTAGCACTAGAACTAACACTAGACGGCTGGTAGGTATAAAATATCATTATGTTGCATATTTTTATTGAACTAAAACTAGAACTAACACTAAACTTTAGCCCCGATACTTTCTAGTTCTAGGTCTAGTGATAGTGCTAGTGTAAAACTAGAACTAACACAAGACCTAGAATCATTCGGGTTTAGCCGTCTTGAAAGACGAGCGGCTAAACCCGAAACTTTCTAGTTCTAGGTCTAGTGTTAGTTCTAGTTTTATACTAGTACTATCAGCAGAACTAACACAAGACCTGGAACTAGACTCATTCGGGATTAGCCGTCTTGAAAGACGTGCGGCTAAACCCGAATGTTTCTAGTTCTCGGTTTTGTGTTAGTTCTAATGGCAGTGATAGGTAGCGCTAGTTAGTATAAAATATCACTATGTTGCATATTTTTATTGAACTAAAACTAGAACTAACACTAGACCTAGAACTAGAATCATTAAGGTTTAGCCATACTGAGAGACGTGCGGCTAAACCCGAATTCTACCCGTTTCTAGGCGGCCGGCAACATCTCGAATTTTCCTAGTGTAATTTTTGCTTAAAACTGACCAATAGTAACCCTTCTTTTTGGCGCTTCAATTTGAAAACACTCCTCCAAATTAAGAAAATAAAGTATAATTTATTATTTAATAATTAAAAATATTCCAGAAAATTAAAAGTTTTCTTTAAATATAATGTTCCAAGAAATAAAAAAAATTAAAGATTAAATTATTTCTTAGAACTTCAATGTTGGATATCTATCACCAATATGGGTTCTGATATCTCGAAAATTCCAATATACACACGTGTTCGTATTTTTTGATATGGGAATTATCAAATTTCACATATTTTATTTTTTTTTTAATTTTTAACGGAGCCGATAAGTTGTTATAAACAAATTTCACTAACCTGATTCATCAACCAACTTCACAACGGTATTCATGATTTGGGGTAAAAAGGCCGTCATCGTATCCGGAGGGGCAGTCTTGAATAATTCCGTAAGTAAACTCCATACCATTCGGCTGAAAACGAAATAAATCGCCACAATTATCCCTCATTCCAAAAAAAATCACTAAATTTTTCTTAAAAAAAAAGTTTTCGACGCCCTCAGTCAAAAGATAAAACCGATGCACGTGGCGTATTAGAGGTTACTCTCATCCGGAGAGGAGAGTTTGGCGGGAAACGCGTTCCTTCCCTCACCACTAACACACACACACACACGCGCATATATATAACCTTAGCGTTCCTTTCGTAAAAAAATATATATATAGTGAGATGCGCATGCGTACTACGTAGATACGAACGCGATCCGATCGATTTCCGACCTTATTAAAATGAAAATAAATTTTTGAAGTTATCTTATTTTTAAACACGGTTAATCTTCAAATCAAAAACGCGCGTTGACCATTTGTTTAAATTAACGAAAAAGAGCGCGCACGATTAGCGGCTGTTAGACGAGCGAATGATCGGCACCGGTACGGTTCATTAGAAAAGCGCGGGGTTTTCCCCACCAAGGGGCCCCCACCGATGCGGCGCGGGGAGACTGTTTCGGTCGTGATCGACCATCTACGACGATCGCAGAGACTTTATTGGCGAATGCGGTGAACGCCCAACGTTTTCGTTCGGTAAGATGGCCGCCCGCAGTGAACTCGCAGGGTGTAGAGTAATAGAAATATGTGGTGCGAACTTGTAAACACCCCCACATAAATTATTGTTTTAACGTTACTTTATCACCAATTATATTTTAATTTAAAAAATCTCTAATTAATAATTTATATATATATATATATATATTAAGAAAAAATTAAGGGTAATATATATATTTTAATTTAAATAAAAATAACATTTAAATTTAACACCAAAAACAACGTTTTTATACCTCTTTCATTTTAAGTTGGTTATAACAAACGGTGAAGTCGAGAATAGATTTCTGAGAATTCTTAGATAGGTAGACGAACCCAACAACAACCAGTTCTTCTTCAGGGGTGGAATTCGCTAGGAATTCTACCTTCTGATACCTTAAAGTTTAACGATTCACGTGAAAGACGCATTCCGAGCGTTTGTTTGAAAACATAAACGGATTTAAACGGAAAGAAAACGGAGTATAACATTTTTTTTTTGCTCGTGATTCTTTTAAAATGAAACATAGAAAAGAAGGCAGGTTGGAAAATCCGGGACGGTTCTTTTGTTTAAATAAATATGGGATCTGTTTCGGGTAATTTACCGCTTCCAGGAAACGGTGGCTTCGATAAAATACACAGAATTTAACGAATTTTTTTAACTGGGATAAACGATTATACAGGGTGTTTAGAAATTCGCGGATAATGACATTCTTCGTTCGATTCTAAAGCGAAAATCTTCATTTTAAAATGTTGTACGATGCTTCATCCGTCTTCATGAGATTCACAAAGTTCGGATAATTTGTCCATAAATAATCATTAATAATTAATATCTGTTGATAAAACAACTGTAATTTGGAATAAAAAGATTTTTGAAAATTAGTTTCGTGTTAAGTTATTTTCATAAAGCTTTAAAGTTCGTTTGTAACATTTTTTCATTATCATATCATCATAAAAACACATTTGGCAACATAGTAGAACAACATTTTAACATTAAGATTTTCGATTCAGAGTCGATGATTTCAGAATGTCGTTACGTGTACATTATTCGCCAATTTCTAAACACCCTGTATATACAGTGAATTTTACTTAAAATGCAATATACAAAAATATATACCATACCTACTTACTTTGTACCAAATAAAATGTAACATGTCTAAAAGTTTCTTATTCTTGGTCTAATGTTAGTTCGAATGACAGTGGGTAGCATTAGTTAACATAAGATATCACTATGTTGCATATTTTTATTGAACTAAAACTAGAACTAGCACTCGACCTAAAACTTTCTAGGTCTAGTGTTTGTTCTAATTTTATACTAGCACTATCACTAGAACTAACACAAGACATAAACTAGAATCATTCGTGTTTAGACGTCTTAAGAAGCGTATGGCTAATTCCGAATGTTTCTAGTTCTCGGTCTAGTATTCGTTCTACGGTGTAACACTAGCACTATCACTAGGAGTAGAACTAACACTAGACCTAGAACCAGAACCATTCGGGTTTAGCTGTGCGTCTCTTAAGACGATCGAAAGCTCAGATCGTCACCTTTTTTTAAGCAAAACTTTTCTTTTGCAAAACTACCCAATGCCTGTACTATTAAGCTATGTTGCATTTTATGTGGGACAGTGCAAGTGCATAGTAGTTTTGTAACTATGCTTACTGTATTCATATATTGTGAGTTATATGAATTTCTCGGTATATTTAAACTTTTTTGAACTAGTTAAGTTATTGAATAAAAGATGGCGTATGAATGGTGTAGGGTGGTGGTCTCGGTCCTAAAAGTAAAGAAGAATTGATAGCTTGTTTACATAAAAAGGATGACCAATTTTTGAAACAAACTTCTTCATCCATTCATAAAGGTTAAGTTCAGGGGAGACTTCTGCCATTCCATTCTGGTTTAGGCCTAAAACATCTGCGATGCATCATTCAAAAAAGATTTTTGATTAACATTATTGATAGAGTTGATTTAGCACCTAGCCAGGAGCAGAATTTGCAATTGTCAGATGTGTGAGTAAATAATAATTGTTCAAAAGCTAAAACAGATGGAGGATAACTTAATTCATAAACTGTTTACGTTTATCCGTCCTCATTTAGTAGGAATAAAGTCTAAATCAGCAAAATATACAACACAATTTTCGTTTAAAGAATCGGCCAACACACAAAACCTAAAAGTGATGAAGGAAAACTTTATGCAGGAAATGAATCAAAAAATCATAATCGCACGATTTTTACGCAAATCGCTTATAATAATATCTAATAGTGTTTCATAATACAATATTATCCGCCATCTATCGGCATGTAGCGATATTGATTACACAATGGCAATTTAATCACAACATTACATCTTCATGTCCTTAAAACTCCGTGCCAGGGAGTGTGCTGTATTTCATCCATTCAGTATGAAGGAATTATTTTTGAAGTTATTTTGCATATAATGGCAAACATCTCTATAATTTACATCATCTGGTAAACTTTCAAATAGAAAGCATTACGTTATTCGTATGTGCGCAGATATGAGCAGCACAAAATGTGTCTCAGTGTCTCAATGATCTATAGTTCTGGTTTATAAGAAAGGAGATTGCTTTACGATTTGAAATTCCCATGATATGAAAGGAGACGAAAAAACACTCTGCTGATTGTTGCTTTTGTTCTTGCCATATCCGTGGGTATAACCGGAAATCAAATCAAAAACTTTTATTCTGATAAAATTTCATCGGCCATACGCCTCCATTGCCTCCAACTGAATTGCCGCCAGTCACCTCTTCAGAGTCTTCAGACTCAGAACATTCAAGGGTCCGATACCGATTCCGCAAGTCGAAAAATCTAAGCCGTTCGAAAGATGCAGTTGAATTGTTGGGCTCCATATTGAAAAAAAAACTTTATGGCCAAAGGAACCTAATTTTATTGGTACAGGGATCGAGAAAAGTTGCCGGATTGATAATCAAATTTAACGTCATCTACGATAAAGATGAATGGAGGCAGTTTATAAACTCATTCTTAATCACGGAAGCTAGAATAAAATATGCTGGCCACGATGGGACCATTTGCGGTGATTTGACAGTTATCTCCATACTTGTTGGTCAACAAGGCGGATTTAGAAATAATCCATGTTTTATTTATTTGGGTGAAAAAGGAATGGCGGAAAAGACAAAATCTTAAACCAGCCACCAAGTATTGCTATCCCCTCTGCATGTAAAATTAGATGTAATGAAAGTAGTTTGTTGAGGGTATTCCAAACGGTGATAACTGTTTCAAATACCTGATGTGCAGGTTTATCTGAAGCTAAGTCGAGAGAAGGAATTTTTGTTAGTACAGATATCCGCAAGCTTATGAAGGATACAGAATTTGAGACTAGCAAAACACATAATGAGATCATTACGAAATACGTTCTACTGTTAATGCTAATTTTATATTAACGATATAATTATTAAGTTTTATATTTGTTATAAAATTCGAAGTGACCGAAAATAAATAATTAATAAATATTGCGGTAGATAATCAAAAAACATGTAAAATAAATACAAACCCGACATATCTAAGTATTATACCATCTGATATATCGCTATTTTTATAAAATCAAGATGGCCGAAAACAAAACACTAATAAATTGCGCCATCTATGCGTTTGAAAATGAATTTTATGATATATTATGTATACAGGGTGCCCCGTTAAGGGTACGGAGTGGCTGTATCTCGACAACGGTAAGACCTAGAGGTTTGGGAAAAAATCCTTATGGGCAAAGTGGGTAAGAGAAATAACTGGAAATTATTTTGAAGTTCGTAATTCGACCGCTAGGGGACGTAACTGCCATAGAGAAATATAAAATTCCCGCTATCTCAGAAAGTTACACGATGAGCTATAATTTTGACAACATCATTTAGTAGCTTGGATAATACCGCATCGTTTTTGTTTTGCGATATTTCTGATAACTGTCATAATAAGGGAAAAGCGTGCGTTTTCAAATGTTTACATTTTAATATCTCTTGGACCATTCAACCGATTTGAATATTTTTGGTCTTGTTTGAAAGAGCATTTTATGTTCTTTTAAAAGATCAGTAAAACCGTTTGGTTTAAAACAAATAAGCTAGAGGGCGTTATCTGCAGCGATTATATATTTTTGTGATTATTATGTATTTTTGTGAAGGTAATAAATTTCTTTTAAGAGCGTGAAGTTTGCAACAAAACTTTAAAACCTTATATTACCTCGGATAATTAATTATAGTATAAGATGTTTTTAAATAATTTGCAACACAATTAGATTAAAAAATATATATATAGCACATGTTCCAGATAGAAAATCGAAAGGTTATAAGAGATTAGCTGCTATCTAACTGTACTCATTACTACACATCAATACTAGTACTCATTGTTACTAGAACTAACGACGCATGAGTAATTGAAGA